AAATCTTTAAAAAAATAGTTGTTGGGATTTTAAAAGGAACTGCATTATATTGTGTTGGGGAGTATGGTCATTAATTTAATGAAATTAATTCTTTCACTGCCTGTACCTGGATGATTTTATCCATTTCAATTTATTTCATTGATGTCTCGTGGTTTTCAAGTTGAATTATCTAAAGGTACATCACCAAATATCAAATCATGTCAGTCAACTCTCTCTCTCTCTCCTTCTCTCTCTCTGTCTTCTTCTCTCTCTGTGTCTTTCTCCAGGATTTCTATCAGGCATTTTGTCACAGTTAACAAAAAACCCAATAGAGTTGGTGATTTTAGAACACTCACCCGCAGTAACTTCTTGGCTACTTCTTGAGGAGCTCCCAGCATTTGTGAGGGAAATAAAGCTGGACTTCTCTTCGTATTTCAAGAGATAACATACTGAAGGGATTGAACATGATAGAACCCTCATCAAGTTCACACCTAGAATTTAATAATTCAAGGACAGTGAATGACCAAAAGTGAGAGGTTTTCTTCCCACATATTTGAATGTCTCTGATCATAATGAGTCCTATATAGTATACCACTGATTTTATCTCCAGTTCCAACAAGTTTAGCTTCCCCGCCCCCACAACTGCTGTGAGTGGAGATGATCCATTTGAAAGAGGAATAATGGGAGTTGGTCTAAGTCACCTTGTTACATGGGTACCTATGGCAGGACAGGCTAAGTCAACCTGTTACAAATGTGCCTATGGCAGGAACAAGCACTGATTGGTGCAGATTCCTCTCCTATCCATTCCTGAGCCCTTCAACCCATGTCTTGTGGTAGCTTACTTCTTTCTTTAGAAAGCAATGGCGCATGCCTCACCAATTACTGAATTGTTCTTCTTGGAAGTCTCATTCCTACTCCAATACAAAAGAACAACTCCAATATTCCTAAAGATTTGGGGGTGGGGGGTGAGTATTACTTTTCTCCACTGAAAGGTGGTTTGGTAATTGGGGACAATGGAAGGAATGAATGCTGGTGTTACGCTGGTGTATTTGAACACTCAGTCCCTAGTAGGCAGCACTATTTGGGGAGATTTTTAGAGTCTTTAGGAGGTGGTGCCTAACTGGAAAAATCAGGTTGCTGGTGAATAGGCTTTGAGGTTTATAGTGTGGCTTTACTTCGAGCCCAAGCTACTGCTTCCTGACTGGCACCGTGTCACATGTAGGTACTGCAAGCACTTGCTCCCAGAGACCCCACACTGTAGCTGTCCCAGCTACCTTGCTTTACCTTCGGTATGGACTCTATCCCTCTGAACCTGGAGCCAAAATAGAGCTTTCTCTGCGGGGTGGAATCTGTCAGTATCCTGTCACTGCGTTGAGACATGGGACTAATTCAGCTGATCGTCTGCAGCAAGTTACTGTGAGAAAGGTTGGAAAAGAGCGAGCCTGGCCCCGAAGCTCCCTGGCTTCTAGTCTGACTCTGTGATCTTCCCTTGAATACGTGCTCCTGCCAGGCTGCGCTTCCCACTCTTGATGTAAAGGCCTAAATTGGCTTCTGCATGTTGTTCTGGGAATGTAGGTCCCATTCATAACAAAGTTTATTTAATAAAGTATGTTCTTGGCCTCAAAAGCTGTGCTTCTGAGAATCTCCTCAGAACACATGGTGGGCTGTATATGGAGCTGAGCTGAAGAGGGTCCCGATGTTATTCCTTGGTGATAATCTTTACTGTAAGTAACTGACTTGGCCTATTTCTGATAACAGATTTATATGACAAACGATAGTCCAAACCTATCTCTCAGCCTAGAAAACTGTACAGTGACTAGGTTTTATCAGCATGCCCCTTACTAAGCAGAAGCTTCATTATAAGTAGAAAATCGGCTTGGCTCCCCCAGGACATCGAACATTTCCTTAATACAAAGTAGAGGACAAATGGTCAGACTGTTTGGAGAAAGGACTGTCAGACTCCTGCAGGCCTTAGCTCCACATCTTGTCTTCTAACAATGCTGTTCTAGCCTTCTTCTCTTTCTTCCAAAGCCTCCAGCAGTCTCCTGACAGTACAAAGCCCTCCCTGTGCCTACCAGCTTTCGGTTGGTAATAAACCCATCTAGGTAGGTACTGTGGGCACCTGCCAGCTGTGTGCTCAGTTCTGTGTGTAACTCTTTCCCAATATTTTACTAGGATGGGAGATCAAATAGAAAGAAGCGAACGGTTTCCTAGTAACGCCACCAAACAATGCTGCACCTGATGGAGCTTGGACGACAGTGAAAAACAAGACAGAATGCCTCCACACAAATCATTTGTTCATTCTGCCCGGTCTTCAGTGCTTAAACTCCTCACGTGTGTCTGATATGAATAGGAGCCCTTTTCGGCTGGGCAATGAACTACGATTAATGTTCTGTGGGAAACTAGCATTCTTAGCAATGCAGCCAAACACCTGAAGAAGGAAAGGCACTTAGAGCCAGAGAGACAGTTAACTCCACATGGTGGTCATAGAGCTGTTAAATACACTTGCCCTCTATCTTAGAAACACCCAAATGGCCTTTGTCATACACCCACGATAGCCTGAGGGCACAGGGTCTGGGTGCTGTCGCTGTGAAACTGACTGCTCCCCTCACCATCTTCCTACTGACTCATCGCAAGGAAGAAGATGAACACCAGCACTATTGATAAGGCTGGGTGATAGAGTGCTTGCCTGGCATGGTTAAGGCCTTAGGTTTGACTCCAGCATAGTCATTAATTAATTAACTAATCAAGACATCATTTAAAATTATCGTGAACATTTCTCTACTTCTTTGTTAATTTTTAAGAAAATGACTAAGATTGATTTCATTGCTTTGATCCCTAGCGTTCGAAACAATAGCAGACAGGCAGATGGCCTGGGAACACTGACATCTGTGTGTTAGAACGACATGCTTGGAGTCCGTATCATAAAGGAGCCAGCGCCAACTACCTGACTAGCTGAACATGCACACACTGTTAATGGTCCATTTGTTCTATGTTAACCCCCATCTCTGCCTCAATGCTCCTAATGAATACAAGTTTGATACCAGCAGAAACTAACACGATTTAGTGATTCAGAAAGTGCCTGAGCCCAAACGTCTCAAAATGAGATACGAGTACAAGAGATGATACTGAGAGATGACAGTAGACATGTCAAGTCCTGAAAATGTGGCTGACCACGTGACCAGTGGTCAACAACAAGACTGAACTCCAGAATGATTGACAATCTTCCTTCCCCTCATATAATTCATTAACTGCATAAGACATAAGGCAAATCTCTAGGATGCCAGTCTTTTGTCTTCTCAGTTTGCTGTCAGTTTTAAGATGTACTTGCTGTTTCTGCTCTTTGACTTCTGGAAGTGACAGATAACATGGCTTGAATTCCCATGTCTGAAGAACCATCTAAACACTGTCTCCCAGATCTTGTAAATTTAGAGACAGAAATTTATTTCTCTGTAGACAGAAGTTTCTGTCCTGCCTAGTCCCATAGCTGTTTAGTCCCAAATAAACACACAGAGGCTTATATTAGTTATAAACTGCTCGACCTATTACTCAGACTTATTACTAACTAGCTCTTACCACTTAAATTAACCCATAATTCTTATCTATGTTTATGATTGGTACCTTGGTTCTCAGAGCCCTCACAGTCTCCCTGGCCCCCTTGACCAGCTAAGCCTTGGCTGGAGTGCCCATACTCTCTGACTGAGTGATGTTCCCTGCCAGTGGAGACCTGGGGACAAGAAAGGCCTCACAGATTGTCCTTATTGTGGCTTATCTTCTCACTGATAGGAATTAAGACAATCTGCCATCTGGGCCTTCTGCAGATCTTGACTCTGAAGCAGAGCAAGCTGGATTCTAATTCCCACAGCTCTGCCATTTGTAGAATACATTGGGACAGAGGATCAATGACTTCCCTTCCCAAAGTCTCCTTCTCTTGTTGAAACACAGAGGTAACAGGAACCTGAGCCTCAGTGTGGAGACTATGAGTTGACACGTGTCACATACACAGCTGGAGTCTACACTGGATCCCAGGAGTCAGTGTGGAGACTGAGATGTCACGTGTCACATATACATGTAGAGTCTACACTGGATCCCAAGGGTTCTCGGAAAGCTTTATCCATCTCGGAAAGCTTGTCTCTTGCCCATTTTGCCTTCCATTAGGCTATCATAATATCATTATTAATTATATTTAGTTGATATAAAACAGAATTTATTATGGTATTTTAACACATACATATTCAATGTATAGAATTATTTTTAATGTAGATACCTTTGTCAAATAAAATTTTTTTCTCTAAATTGAATAGTGTTGTCTTTAACTCTTAAATTAGGATTATTTCATGTAAAATTGTATCTACAGCCCTTTAAATGAATTCCCCTGATGTACTTTAAATTTTTCCAGACACTGGTACATTTTTAAGTTAACAAATTAAAAGTAGCATATAGGGGTTTGTTATATAGTTAGAATTGGCAAATACTTGGGAGTTTTTGTCTTTGTTCTCTTTTTTGGCATTTATCTTGTTTTGTTGTGAGTTTTGTTTGTTTGTTTGTTGTTTGTTTTTTCTATGAAGAAACTGATTTTTGAAGTGCCAAGTTCTCTGTACTTCTTATCTCTGCTGTAGCTTCCTGGCTTTTCCGTTTCACAGCAAGAAGCCATGGACACTGGACCAGCAGACAAAGCACTAATGCACAAACCATACCCATGTAAATGCCAAGAGGGTGTGGTAACCACCGGCAAATCAGGTGCTCAGTGCTCAGGAGGCAGAGATGGGGCTCTGCGGTAGTTGGCTAGCTATGCTAACCTACATGTTGAACTCTGGTTCAAAGGAGGAACTCTGCCTCATGTAATGTGGGGAGCAACAAGAAAACCACTCAACATCTATCTCTGGCTGTCATACATTTGCACACATATGTGTACATGCCTTCACCACACACATGCCTCTACACAAATGCTTACCCCCACACACACACACACATATCCATACCCAAAGAAAGGAATCATACATAATGCAAAGAAGTAGGCATATGATATCCCAATAAAACTTTACTCATCGATGTGCCGTTCTGCATTTTACATACTTCATATATGACACAAAATGGTCTTTTGCTTTTCTTCTAAGCATTTAAAATGTAAAAACATTCTTAACAATTAGGCCGCACAAAAGCAGGAAAAGTAACTTTGGTTCATCGGCTACCAATTGTCGGCCGTCAGTGCACAGGACTAAAGACGCGGAACCAAAACATCACTGTGACAGCCGCCATTTTGTGTATGAGAAACACTCTCTTAAAAAGCCATGGGAAGGTATAAAGGTGCACTCGATTCGAGGACTCACCAAAGTTACTTGAAAAACACATTAGAAATCCAATTTGATGCAGATTAGTATATAACACAATTTCATTACTCCTATGCCTCATCTAAAGAATCTAATTTTCTTGATATGAAGAATAACTTCCTAGAAAGGGAAAGGCAAGAGTTCCATGAGATCAAAGCCTGCTCAAGCTATGCGGAGAACTCCAGCCAGCTGCTTTGCTGTCGGACTCTGTCAAATGTAAAAGGAAAGGAAAATATCCTGCTTAGGTAATAACACCAAGCTAATGTTTAGTGATAAGATTTTTAAAGTTGTAGGAGTCTTACGGATACAGTTCACTATTGGAGCACCTGCTGAGCGTCCACTGGACCACGGCTCAGTTCCCCCCCCCACAAAAACATTTCATTGGATTTTCTGTAATATTAGGGAGACTTTTAAGTGAATGATTACTTTGAAAATTTAGGGTTTCTTGAAATTATGAATATTTTAAATAAATCAGATAAAAATATTTTAACTTATCAGTAGATGAATAATTTAGACTATCTCTTGCAAAGTTTAAACCAAAAACATATGTTCAATTCTGAAAGGTGGGTAGTTTTTAAATTACTAGATGTTACAATATTTTCTTACAGTTATAGTACAAGAAAAAAGATAAATATAATTTGTATATAAATATATGTAGGTATGTCAGTAAAAATGACACAGCTAATAACACTCTTAAAGAACATTACAATGCATTATTGCACTCAGCATTTAAACACTATTATTGTCCTTCATCTGCAAAGCATTTAGAGATAAAACATGACATTTTAAAAGAACATATAATGTCAACTTGCACATTTTAGTTAAATAAGCTAAAATAGACCATTTTGAATGATCATTTCCTTAGAGTTGATTTCAAATTTCTCACTTACATTAATTCTTAATCAATTATAATATAAAATTGACTTTATTTATTTATTCATTTATTTATCACTGAGACAAGGTCTCATTCTGTAGCCCTGGCATGCCTGGAACTCACTCTGTGAACTAGACTGACCTCAAAACCCCAGAAATCTATCTGCCTCTGCCTCTCCAGTGCTGGGATTAAAGGCTTAAAGGTGACAGAGGTGAGGTTCTGAGGAGGTAAAAAGGAATCAGAGGTGGGTTTGGGGGAAGTGCTTTTTAATCTCTGAGAACCGCTCTTCTCATTGGTGTAAATGATGAACAAAGAAGAGAGATGTGTAGTTGATGAACTGGAATGAGACTTTCCAGCAACAACCACTTGAAACATAACAGGAAAGTGTTATACTTCCCACAGGGTTTCCAGAATGGTAGCATCGTTGTCAAAGCTCTCACCATTAGGCATAGAAAAATAATCTTTTTTTTTCCTTTAAGCAAAGTAAGCTGTGATCCCTTAAAACCTTTTTATAATATGTGTTCACACCTGAAGAACCTACTTGTGAAAAAAAAAAAACAATTTCACTAAAACGTGAATTTGAAACCTTTTCAGAATTAATCAATAGTTTTCATAAAAATATATTTTATGAAATTGTTAAATATGCAATTTCCTTAGGAAAAAAACCCTGCCAATTGTAATATCTTAATTTTGAAAATAAAAACAATAGACATTGCTTCTGAGAGTGATGAAACTCAGGCCTCAGCTGTCTGAGCACCCAGAACCCAGGCAGTGAGAACAGAGAACCGTACCCTGGGTACCAATTCTTTTCACAGATACAGTCAGTCGCTGGGAAGCATCGGTGAGCATTTGTCCCAAGGGCCTGTTTAGTGAGACTCTCTGCAGTCCCGTAACCTCATCCAGGGTCCTCTTCTTCCAACCACAGGTCACAGATGTTTCAGTTTGTATTTAAACTCAATATCATGTAATGGTGGCAGAATTCCCAAGCCTGCCCTGGACTGATCTAGAGGAGGACACTGGACATGGCTCTCTACAAGTTCCAGTTCAAAGCATGAAAGCATCAGAATCAAAAATTGCTTAATTTCTTGGACAGCAAACAGTCGTCCAGGGCATATTGTAGCTCCTGATCCAAATGGCATGTAGAAACACTTCAGTTTGTTCCCATTGCTATAGAAGGAGGTCTTTGCCTTCCCGTTTTCGTCAAGGTATCGGTCATATTTAAAAGTCTGCAATAAGGAGACAAGAAGCCAATGAGCTATTTTGATAGATAATTGTCTCATTCTTGACTATTAGTAATTCTCTGCTAATAACTCCGTCCTCTGTGAGGTAACACACACCTAGCACTGAACAGGTAATTCTGGAAAGACCTTCTCGAGAGCTGGTGGGCCCAGAAGCTCTAGATCCCTTCTTTCTGCCTGGGCACTCATTCTTTAGTTAGGCAAAAGAAGCAAAGGGTTCGAAAAAGATACTAAAAGAATCGAGTCTAATGCATTACCCTCCATTAGTGTGGATTTGGGAGAGGGTCCTTTTTAAGGAAAAAGAAAGGTGGTAGCTTTGCTACAGCTGGAAACATAATCTAGCAGAAGGTATGAAATGAAAACTATCAGGACTAAAAGTTCAAAACTCTTTCTTCTACCCAAAGTTTCCAAAACATATGCATCTTTGCTATAATGAAGGGGACAATCCCTATGGCCTTGAGGAGCAAATCCATTCCTCATTCAGACCTGGGTGGCTGTCACCTCAATACTGACTTTGGATGAGCAGAAACTTACCAGAGGATCTGGGTAGATTTCAGGATCCAAATGCATTAGCTGCGGGTAAAGGGCTATGATGTCATCTTTCCGGATGTTATAGGAACCGTCTTCGAGGTGTAGAGTGAAATCCTCCTTAGCAGTCCGGATATTCAAGGACGCACTAGACAGCCTCAGAGCCTCTTTGATGATGCTATCTAAACATTGTCAAATAAAAGAGCAAAAGAGGAGGGAAGGAAAGAGGGTGGAGCAGGAAAAATGACAGGGAGGGAGAGAAGAATTTGCATATTAAAAATATTTCCAAGTTAATTTATTTTTACGTTGATGGGTGTTTTGCCGCATGTATGTTGTGTGCAACGTGTAGATGCCTGATGTCTACAGAGTCAGAAGAAGGCGTCAGATCCTTTGGAACTGGAGTTAGGATGGTTGTGGGTGCTGTGGGTCAAACCTGGGTCTTCTGAAAAGGCAACAGATGCTCTTAATCACTGGGCCATCTCACCCACCCTGGATTTATGCATTTAAAGGCTGCATAACATGAAGTCTGAAATACTTCTGCCAATCTGTATACAAAATGAACAAAGGCAGGCTAACAAATGAAAACTTCCTACGCTGCTTCTGTTGCCACCATGCTGTTCTTCGTGACTCAGCTGGTCTGAAATATATTTTCAATCTAAGCATCTAGGTCGTTGGTTCTCAACCTCTGGGTCATGACCTATTTGGGGGGTTGTTAAACAACCCTCTCACAGGGTTCTCCTAAGGCCATCAGAAAACACAGATATTTACATTCTTGTTCATAACAGTAGCAAAATTACAGTTATGAAGTAGCAATGGAAATAATTTTATGATTGGGGGTCACCACAACCCTTTAACTGTATTAAAGGGTTACAACATTAGAAAGGTTGAGAACCATTGATCCAAGTTAATAATCTTTTGATATGCTACAATGTTCTTCACCATCAGTGGGAACTAGATAAACATCTCTCATTTTATAGAACACTAATCTTATTTCTGTAGGACCCTAAGTAGCTAACAAAGTTGAAATAACTAGCAATCAATTCTGTGTGAATTATTGTTGACCATATTAGGAAGGAAACATCTTGACAGAGAAATGCCTTTCCAAGCATTTCATGAGTCTACCATTCCATGCTTAGGAAATCCCCTACATTATCTGATGGTGGGTAATGGCACCCTGCTTCTAGGTAAAAGAGGGCAGGAACAAAATAGACCTCAGAGCTGCTGAAGTCTCAGAGAGGTTCCTTGTGCATCCAGACTCTAGCTGTTAGCTGCCTTGCAACAATTGTGTCTGCAACCACACATGCTTAGCCCTTTATTTACGAGTGAGAGCAGGGAGGTGTCCAAAGCAAAGTGACAAGCCCACCCCCAAAATCAGGCAGTGCTGGATCTAAGCCCTTTCGCTTCAGAAAAGCTAAATTGTCCTCGAAGTACACACAGGCTTCTGTCCTTTACAGAAGAGGACTTAAAAAGAAGATTGTTTTATTATAAACACGCAGCACTTCTACTTCTGTATTCTAGAAAATACAGAAACAGGGAAAGAAAAGCCTTGGCCCCATCCCACAAGCCAATCATGCTTTTTTTTTTTTTTTTGATGGTACCTTGTTCACATTTAATTCGATGCTTTCTTAAAAACCCCGACTTTATGGTTTTGGGGGACTAACAAAGAGGCAAAGGATGTGGAGCAGCTGAGTATCACAAGTCCCATGCCCGTGTTGCCGCTGATCCCCCTGTCTGTGATCCAGTCATTATCCCACCGATGGGTCTCAGTTCCTCACTTGTTAGATAAAAGTGGAAATTCCCCCATAGTTAACAGACGGTTGTGAGGTTGTAAGATAGTTGACATAATATTGAGAACACAATACAGTATGTGGTGAACACTGTTACCATTGACATGTGAATGAGGGGTAGGGTAAAAAACACACCTAAGACAGGTAGGTCGTTCATTTGTACTTGATCCAGATAAATAGCGTTCCCTTCAGTGCTGGACTTTTGGCCAGCATTCTGCAGTGCTCCGTTCACTTCCTCAGAGGCTGCTTTTAATGCTTCAGGGCTCCTATGAAAAGAGACGTATGGGAAATATTTCCTTATTCAGAGACCTGCAAGTAAATAAGAACTCCTTTTCTTTTAATGAGTGAGCAAAGGGGCATTGCCCTTTACTTGTACTGGATTCTGAACTGGATTCCTGCCCTGGGACTCAGGAAGGGGCATTAAAGAGGCTTTGCTATGTAAAAGCAAAGCTTTGGTCAGCTCTCTATAAATCAGTGGTTCTAGGGAGGGCTAGACATTCATGCGATGAATATAGTAATCCAGAAGAAATATTGCATCTAACATACAATTACAATTAGTTTCCAATTTCAAATTGCTCTTAAAATGGCTTGAGAACATTAATGTTTTGCCATTTATGTTGTTGTCATTGGGCTGTGAGATGATAAAGGATACTTCCATTCAATACGTGGAAGTTTGCTCGAGGCGGTTTGAAATCTCCTTCACCTGATTACAGAAAACTGAGCCAGGGAAATGTTGGCCCAACAAGCAGTCGTTTAACTTAAATTACAGCTGCAGTTCTTAGGTGATATAAAAATTGATGTGAAAATAGGGATGTTCGAATTAGTAAGGCTTGATCTCTGCCCTCATCATGTCTGCAAGCCTGTCCTCATTTAAAAACATTTAAAATGTTTTTAACACGACGAAGATTGTAGTCATGGATTTAATTTGACATTAAGAGGAACACTATGAGATTAGGGCAAGACTGGGCCGGGGGCCTGCATTGACAAATGCCAGCAATCCAAATTCTGTGGCTTCTGGGGCATCCCTTTCCGCGGGACTGTATTCCTACAAAATGCTGCTTCTGCTATGCACATGTTAAGAGGGGCACTGAGTATCACACTGTTGGCCGATAGCAAAGAAAGCTCCACTAGTCTTTGGGGGCTTTTAGTTAAAATTGTAATTTACGTCCCTTTGAGTAATGAAAACGCTTAAATTGCTAGTCACCTGATCATTTGAAACAAGCTCCAGAAGGTTGCAGGAATGGTGTTTGCTAGGGATGCCCAGAGGATAGCGAGGTGCGTCCTGGCCTTCTCTCTGTCGTCAAAGGTGGAGAGAGTATCGTTGAGAAACATGCGCAGACTGATCAGTTCCGAGACCTGTTCCCTCTTAGAGAGGTTCTTATGCTTCAAGCCCTCAGCCAGTTTTTCCCGGGCCTTATGTGCCATCCTGAACAAGCGAATAGGGAGGCCTGCCACCAGCGCGGGGAAGACTTGGTCAAATTGCTTGAAGTTGTCAAGGTTGTTGAGAATAAGAGCTCTTTGTGCGTCTGGCTTTGAAGTATCTCTGCCAAACAGAGTTAGATATCCGGCTTCAAACATCACTCGGTAGCAGAAGGCGTACATCCCTTCGGTGACCCAGACAGCACTCTTTGATTCAGCAAGGCCAGGAGGCCTCAAGATCAATTGAAGGTTTTGCATCATGACTTCAGAGAGTGAATACAAAGCATTGCCCTGGAGGGTTTTGGCAAAAGTGTTGTTTATGTTTTCCGTGGTATTTCCATCACTTGGGTCAATGCTTCTGTGCCCAAATGCCTGGTAGAAAAGAAAAGCCGTGAAAGGCAGAGGGGCTAAACCTGAGCTTGCCAGGGATAGGAAATGGCTGAAAGACAGATGGAAGGTGTTCATACTCCTCCGCCTGGCTTTCCCATAGATGAGTTCACAGCACCTTCGAAAGGCAGACCAGGACATACTCTTTCTTTAGGGGGGAGTTTAGACCCCAGCTTTTCAGGGGAGTTTCTCTAGACTGCCTCACCAACTTTGATGTCAGACTAATGTGATACTGATTTTATTTTTACCTTTTTAGTCTCTGTAAATGCATTTTAACCGGACTTTAATTTACGTAATGACAGAGACTATGTCTAATATTTTCTTTCAAAAGTTCAGTGTTGCTTTCTCTAGAATGGAGATTCTTGATAATATTTAAATGATGCTTAAATATACAACCTTCTTCTTAATGATCGAAACGTTTGTGGGCATGGATGTGGTAATAGGCATGTTGAATGTTAAGTTTGCCAGCACTCTACTCTGTGTGTTGTACAGACAACATTGATGTCAGCAATTTGTACCTTCCTTATTCATATACAGTGCCATCTGGCTCATGAAGTACTTACAAAGTGATTAATTTGTATATGTCACAGTCAATGACAAATTTACATCTATCTTGAATTTTTAATACTTAGTACCAAGACTTCCTGATTGTATGTTCCCTCTATCATACAATCTATAACATCAGAATAACTAAATAAACGAATACATTAGCAGGTTAGGAAACGAACAGAATCTGTATAAACTAGTTACCTTCGCAGAAGTACTGTAGTGGAATTTTTTCCAGTCAAAATATTTCCCATGACTTAACACCTTAGGGTATGATGAGGAGTTGGTGACGAAGTGAACATATCTCCCCATTAGTTTGCAGGTAAAAACATGGCCGTGTTTCCTTTGATTTGCTCTCAGGAACTCGAGAGGATTGGACCCAAATTTCAGAGCACAGCCCAGGTACGGGATCAACCCATTCTCCAGAGGGGGTTCACCTGCTTTCCTGAAAGGCAGATTTGAGAGGTTTGGAAAATGACATGGTTAGCGTTTTTATGAAAGCCACATTTTTACTTAGTTTCTACCAATAATTTCAAGCTTCATAACTACGTTTGCAGATACCTCTTTTACTAAAACAGTGGGCTTTTTAGCGTACTAAGATATTGGTGAAGGTGATTACTAAAGCTGCCTACCCATCAATCCATCCACCAGCCTATCTCTCGGTCTGTCTACCACCACATACACGCACATATGTTCGCTCATCAAGCCCTCCTTAGATTGTTTACTATGTCTATGTCTGACTGCTTTTCCCAACACAGGGCTTAAAGTGTCAACAGGGCCAACAAGATTCTTGATCTCACTGTAGAAACAAAGTCACCATGTAGTGCTTAGACCTGCTCAATGAATCATTTGCCTAAATGCCTAAAATGTTTCATTTCTCTTTCCTGTTTGTTAAAGATGTGAAACACCAAACAACAGAAAATGCTGCAGAGCTGAAGTTTTTAAAAATCTTCATAGTTTAAAAATGCTGGCATTCTGGTGTCTGGAGGTGCGGCTCAGTGGTGGAGCCCTTGCCTAGCACATATGAAACCTTCCATTTGATTCCCAACTCTGAAAAGAAGGAGATTATTATTCTGTGATGATATTTGAAGAGAACAGGAATCCCATTTGACAAACTAGATTATTATAAAATCAAGTTGGTAGGGGTAAGCATTGGTAGATCATCAACTATAATTCACTGATCTTTAGCTCTCTTAAATGTTTCGTTTTGGTTTGGTTTGGTTTTTCAAGACAGAGTTTCTCTGAAGCTTTGGAGCCTGTCCTGGAACTAGCTCTTGTAGACCAGGCTGGCCTCGAACTCACAGAGATCCGCCTGCCTCTGCCTCCCGAGTGCTGGGATTAAAGGCGTGCGCTGCCAGCACCCAGCTCTCTTAAATGTTTTTTATTAGATACTATAAATTTAATTATTTTCCAACAAAAGCTAGTTGTCTTTTGTTAAAATAGATACATTGATTTTTCCTTTATTAGCATTAAGATAAGCTGCTTAATTAAAACTGGAAACCATCAGGCATGAATTAAAATAACTCAAAGGGCAAAGAAGTTTTAACAGTAAGGCAGCAGAGAACAGTCTACCTCGCTGAAGATGTGCCAGGGGTGTCCTGTATTTTAGTGCCGACGTAACAGAAGAAGAAGATGTGCCATGGTACCCTGTATTTTAATGCTGACATAACAGAAAGCACACATGCTCAGCAAGTGCAACTATTCAGTTCATGTGATAGAAAGAACCTTCCAGATTTAACCCTTGCCAACTGCACCCTTCCCGGCTCAGGTTTGCTTCGCACACGAACACACAAACATGCATCTGTACATTTTTTTAGTTATGTTTAACAAGATCTGCATCACCATCAGTGTATATGAATATTCAAAGGGAAACTGTCTACGTCTTTTCAGGGTTAGCCAAAGAAGTCAGGCCTTAATTTTTAAATAAAAGATACTAAGGTACTAGTACTTTTGTAAAATTGTGTAATAGTGAACGTAAAGAATGCTAGAAAAAAGCTAAAAGGAAAATTAAAGAAAAATTCTTTCCATACCTTCTCCTTATGCCAAAGATAACCCATATGCAGCACACCGCAGCAAGCCCCCAAATCAAAGAGATGGTCATCATTTTCCAAAACAGGAAAAAGTCCCAAGGGGAGAGCCTGTGCTTAGCCAGGTAAGACTACCCCTGAGCAGAGGCTCAACCTAGACTTTTTATATGCATAAGACCATGATTCAATAACCTGAACTTCGGTGACCAAAGCAAATACTAACTATTTGTCCTCCTATTAGAAAACAGAAAAAAATAGTATCACCGGGCCTTGAACTAAGTCCACAGTATCAGAAGAGGCTCCAAAACAAGCAGAGAGCTGCAATACTCGATAAGCTGCAGCCCTGTCCCTCGTGTGCTGACATAACATTCAGGCCCAGAGACACAGCTAACATTGTGCTTCTGCGTGTGGAAAAGGCAGAAATAAACACCTACAGATGTGCACATCTGTTAAAGACATCGAGTCTGATGTAAACTGAAGCAAGCAGAAGCTTTTCATCATGGTCGTGGTTGTTTATGCTATTACCTTGGGGGGAAATTAATTTAGATAATTTTCCCGAAATATACCAATCCAAAAGAATGAGAACTGGGTGGGACAATTTTCTGGTTTGTTTGCTCGGTGTGCTTACAAATCCACAGGTGTTTCGTGTGGACTAGGACATATTCCTTACCTGCCGTCGTCTGTAGTGGCATTTCATTTGTATTTCAAAGCTTGTCTGAAGACCAGAAAAGTAAAACATCCACACTGGCCAGCCTTACAGACCAGGCAGCAATGAAACACACCTTTAATCCCAGTAGCCACAGTTCTCAGTTTCAGTCTCAGCCTGAGGTTTCCTGGAGGCAGGATCATCATTTTCAGACAGAGGCTGAGGAAAGAGTCAGTGGCTGGCGGTTTTACTTTTCTGATCTTCAGGCAAGCTTTATTTATTAAAATGCAAATGAAATGTCACTATAAGCATCAAAAAAGATAACTTCTCAGTACCTCATCTTCCAGGTAGCCATAGCTTATTTTGAGAAAATAATCTTTACCAATCATTACTTGTAATTAAGAGGTACTTTACTTCAAATAAAGACTAAAACACTTCTTGGCAGAAAAGTCAATACAAAGTCATGATCGACCTCTTCCACCACTTGCACTATAAACGGCTATGCATCCTCCCAAAGTTTATCCAGCATAATCTTTTGTTTTGTGTTGGGAATTGAACGCATGGCCCTACTTCTCTAGAGAAAGCACTCTACTACCAATTTACACCTGAGCTCCCTGCTTAACACAAATATTAATCAGGTTTTTCCTTTATGTATCCCAGAAACTCTTTAAAGATATTCTGGCTTTAGGTATTAACAAGATAGGAAAGCTCACTACTCTCATGAAGCTTCTATTCTAATGGGGAGACTGGTGGTAAAATATGTGTTATTCTACATAGAATGAGGTGGAGAGAGCTGCTGAGGGTTGAAGGCCACTTGAGTGTATTGAGCAGAGAGACTTTTCTGAAGAGAGAACACTTGAGATAGAAGAGCAAAGGAAAAACATTCCCAGAAGAGCGAACGTCAAAGGTGGAGTTCCTGAGTGCGGGTGAACTTGACGTGCTAAATCCAGAACAAACATCTTATCTATCAGAGCCAAGTGAAGAGAGTGAAGACAAGAAGGCGGGCAAAAGCTGGTTCATGTAGGGATGCTTGGGAGTGGAAGAGGATCTTGGAAGGCAAAAGGTCTGTATACTGTTGTGACCATTTGAAACTCCATGAGACAATGTCAGCTGAATGTAACAGTCTGTGGTTGGGAGAAGGAAGAACGTTGGAGGTGTAAATCTCAAGCCATCAGCATTGGCTTGTTATTTAAAGACAAGAGCTCCTCACCTGGAAGAAAGTGAAGACCGTGTAGTAAGTAGACTATGGCTCCAGACCACAGTGCGCGCTGTTCCTCAGTATCGGTCAGAGAGGCAGAAAAAGGACAAAGATAGACAGATACATACATATATGTACATACATATATGTGTCTAGACGCATATCTACATGCAGTGTACACACATAAAAGTCATGGCTACTAATACGTGCTTATGTGCTTGGAATTCTACTGCATGAAGTCATTCTACAGGCCAACTCAGTCAACTAATTTTCTTACGGTGAACACTGGAATCTCTTCTAACTTCTGCTCTGGACTCCACAATGATAGTTTTGGCCTCCCTAACAGAGCCCACAGATCTTTATTGTGTAGTTTATGACCCTAATCATTAGCATCCGTTGCTACATGGTAGGGTAGATTTTCTCAGAATCTATTGAGATCTCCTAATGCTTTGTACACATTAAATATATTTATATTGCTTTTATAAAATGGCATATCTTCTCCTCAATGGCTCTTAAGGAGCCTATCCCTTGGGCATCCAGTCACCACAGAATAACTGAGGAAACATCAGTCTCATATCCAAACAGACCAGCTCTCCAGAGTCGCCTGTCCCATAGATCACAGCAGACAAAAATAGACAGGAGAAACCAGAGGTGGTCCCTCAGTATTCTTTACAACTTCCCATGAGTCTGTAATTCTGTGAAAATACGGAGGTCTCCAAGTGGGAAGCTTCCCGCAGGCTGGTCTTCTTTACCCGCAATCAGAGCAGTGTGAACTCTTCCTCTGGGGCCTGGCTGCTGTTTACCTTGATCTCACTTACCCTGTCCTTTTCTGTTTTCCTCCCTCACCTGTAACACCTTCCCAACGTCAGTCACCTGAGCACACATGCGGAGACACATACACGGAACAGTGGGGACTGGAAGATGCGCACACATGGACAGGTACACGGGACAGTGGGGACTGGAAGATGCGCACACATGGGCACATACACGGGACAGAGGGGACTGGAAGATGCACACACACGGAGACACATACACGGGACAGTGGGGACTGGAAGATTCAGATGTCAAGCCCATTCTTTGTTATGCATGGGTTATGTCCTTTCCTTCTGAGAAGTTTGATTTGCTGCTGTGTACTCACAAACAGCACCTAGCAGATATAATCTGAGGCTGGAATTTTTTCTTTTTTTCTTTTTTCTTTTTTTTCGAGACGGGGTTTCTCTGTGTTATAGTCCTAACTGTCCTGGAACTAGCTCTTGTAGACCAGGCTGGCCTCAAATTCACAGAGGTCCTCCCGTTTCTACCTCCCAAGTGCTGGGATTAAAGATGTGTGGTGCCATCGCCCAGCTGGAAATTCTAATGCTCAGTCCAGTTGTGAAAACTACCTGTAGACTTCAAGGAAATGTCTAAACAATTTTCTGATAAATAAGGTGCACACAGTTTCATGCCTGAGTCTAATGACCTCGGCATGATTTTAACATAGCTCTGGTTGTGCAATGGTCAATGAATTCTGCCTCCGTGTGCAACTCTTTTCCTTAAATCCCTGTTTCAGGTGGTAAAATGTTATTAATTCTCTCTATGCGTGTCTCTCTCTGTCTCCCTACCCCTGTCCCTATCTCTGACTCCCTTCCCACCCCTCTCACACACAGACAGAGTGGCCCCTATTGCACACCAGGCCCTGCGTAGAACTCGGGACACAGGGTAAACATAACAGTGACCCTGACCTATGGAGTTTCTCTTGCAGCAGTGTCGGCAGGTGCCCTAAAAGACAAGGTCAGTGTTGTCAGAAGACCTGGCAGGCCAAGTTGAGTTTATTTTAACTCTAATCCCTCTTTCATATGTCAGGTTCTTCTTCATCTGTGGAGGATTTTATAGAAGACCATAAATCCTGCTGTTTGGAAGCTCTTGAGCTCGGTCTTAGAGAATGCAAGGTCCAGCACCCCATCATCGTAAACAAAAATGAATAAAACAGGCTGGAGAGACGGCTCAGCAGTGAAGAACATTTGCAGAGGACCCCTATTTGGTTCCTACCAACCATACAGGAGAGCTCACAATGGCCTGCAATGTAGCTCTAGCCAGTAAACCTAATGCCCTCTTCTAGCCTCTGGGGATATCTGCACACAAGCACTGCACACTGACCCATACAGGAACACACACATATATGCATAAGAGAGAAATAGTTTTTTTTTTAAAATAAATTGATAAAACATGGGAAGTTACACTGGCGGCGTAGAAGCGAAAAGGAAACACTTAAGCGGTCAGCATGTAAACACCGGTGGCGCATTTAATTTACGTGTCCTGTCTATCAAGACATCCACTAGCAGAACTGAGGGTAGAGCTTAGTGTAGGAAAACTTGCCTGGGATATGTGAGTCTCTAAGTTCCGCTCCCAGCGCTGGAGAGAAGGAGAAGCTCAGTAAACAAAGAGCACACCAAGCAAGTTGACCGTTTTAAATACAGCGAGTTGCTGATGTGGTCAGACAACTAAGTCACGAGCTTTTCGTGACTAATTGCTTTCAGGGTTCACAGTCATTATGAAGGAGCACAACTGAACTGAGCTGAAGTGATTCTTTGCCCTCTGCCCTCTCTAGGTCTTCAAAATCAAAACTCTGTGCAAAGTACCTATCTCAGAGCCAGTTAGCACGAGGGCATGCTGGAACAGGGTGGTCAAGCATCTTGTGATTACTTGAGGCTTTCATAGTAAGTTCTTGGGAAGTAAGTCTATTTACTCTTGAGTTAAAACTTTATGAAGCTATTAAAAAAAACCCAACTTATTTCATGACAAAATAATTGTCTGATTCGCAAGATAATTTTAGCCAGGCAAGGTAGCACATGGTTGTAAACCCAGCACTTGGGATGCTGAAGCAGGAGAATTGCCGTACCTTCAAGGACAGCCTGTACTACCACATAGTCAACCTGTAATCAGCCAGGATTATATAACAAGAACCTGTCCAGAAAGACACAGATATGATTTTGAATCCTGAATTTTTTAGTTTAGAATTATAAGTACCTAGTAAAACTCAGTATAAAAAGACGTGTGTAAGTCACTGGCAACTTGAAGAAATTGTCACTTGCTACTATCTAGCTATACACTAAGTTGTTATTTCATGCACTGTGTTCACACGAGCTTATCACCTGCCTTGTGAAAGGCATTTATTAGATGCTGGAGATGCAGAGATAAACAGACAGAAGGAGCCTCTATGCCCCATGGGGATACAGCCAATCAAAAACTAGAAGAAACATGGCTTGTTTTTCTGGCATTATTTCTATTATTAGGAGAGGTTAAGCCAAAGTGGTTTTGAGCCAA